TCATTTCATAATCATAATTCATGTTGCACTTCAATTGAGGTGGACTAATGGTTAGGCTACTGGACACGTAATCGTGAAATTGCGGGTTTGGGGGGTTCGAGCCTCAGCTCGATCCGACGTGGTGTCTTTGGGAGAGGCACTTTACACGAATTACCCAAATGGCTCGGCCCTTTAGGAGAGGGGCGTAAATATCGAAGGCCCTGCCTCTTAAATAACCTAACAGTGTTGATAGAGGCGTTGAACCTATACCATTTCACAATTTTCTTATAATGTAGATCATATCTATAGCGCCCACTACCGTGTGAACACAGCTCTAGGCGCTTTACATAAATGAATGTACGAACAATATTCACAAACGCGCGCGTACACACACACAAACACACACACACACACACACACACACACACACTTACTCACACACACATTACACACATGCATGCCACACACGCGCGCGCGCGCACACACACACACACACACACACACACACACACACACACACACACACACACACACAAACACACATACACACACACACAAACACACATACACACACACAAACACCTATTTGCTTATCACACACGCATGCTTTCACATCGTTACGAAATGAGCATTTTAAATACATAAAACAATAATATACACAATGCAATTCGGCGGTTAACAAAATACATAAATGGATACATAGTCATTCACATAACCTTGTACTTGTACTGAACACGAATCTACTGACATTAAAATGATTTTTATTAAATCTTGTGTCTTTAAAGACGTTAAAAATTTAGACTCAAATGTTGTATGTCTCAAGGGTTAGGGAAGAGAGTTCCAAACTGATGGAGCAAGGTGGGTAAACGAACTTTCAGTAATGTTTTACCTCCTTTTCTGGGAACCCCTAAAAGATATTGATCGACTGATCTTAATGATCTAGATGGAACATAAATATATGGATGAGATCATTAAGGTATGAGGGAAGTTTGTTATTGACACATCTATGACATAATATTTCAATTTTATGTGACATTCTAGCTGATACTGGGAGCAAGTGCAACGTTCTTAACATGGGAGTAATGTGATCCCTCTTCTTTTTCTTCAATACAAGCCTAGCAGCATGATTTTGAAAACGTTGTAACTTGTGAAGAGTGGTATATGGTAGGTTAGCCAGTAAAGCATTGCAATAATCGATTCGTGAAAACAGGAAAGATGACACGTGCGTTTACGATGAGCTTTCATTAAAATACATCTCGTATGCCCAATTCTACGCAATTCACGAAATAAAACGGTAAATAAATAATTGATATGATGTTCCATTGACAATTTTGAATCAAAATACACTCCCAGATGTTTTGCCTTATCAGTTTTTCATTTTCAGTACAAACATCATCTATGTTTATGAGGATATGGCTTTTCTTTGAATTACGTAAAAGAATTTCAGTTTTATTTTCATTAAGCTGGAGCTTATAATCAATAACCCAGTTCTTGACATCATCAACGCACAGACCCATGGTGGTAGGCAAGGTTTGAACATCTGATGGTGGAACAGATTTGCACGACTGTGTATCATCTAATCAAAGCTCTAAGCGGCAGTGTATATAACATATGCAAGATTGGACCCAATACTGAACTTTGAGACACTCCAAACTCTAGTTTTAAAATTTACGAAAGAGAGTCGTGTACAGCCACAGATTGTGTACGGCCAATCAGGTAGGACCTGAGCCCACCAAGAACCCTGCCAGACAGGCCAAACGTGTTGAATAATCGTTCAATAAGAATAATGTGATTTTTAAAAAAGGAAAGGTAGGAGAAAGGTCTGGAATTCTTGAGCTCCCCGGTGGACAGGTTTCATTTTTTTGAGAAAGGGAATAACTGAAGCATGTTTAAATAATGATGGTACTATTCCAAACTTGAGAGACTCGTTAATAATGGAAGTTATAAATCCAATGACACTATCAAGATGTGTGATGAGCAGTGGTGTTGGAAATGGATCAAGACTACATGTTTTACGGGGTGATGGCATTATGACTGATCTAACATCTTCTTGTGTTACACGTACAAATTCATTAAAAATTACCCCAGAGAAGTGTTTCTTACCAAACAATTGATTTGTTATACAAAATAAAGGTTTAGAGATGGTACATTCATTAATTTTTTCCGTCATAGTACACGAATTTTGCAGATGTTATAAACGATTTAACTTTGTTGTTACAGTGTCTATACTATATACATGGCCTCATGAATTACTAGCGTGGTTGATCTCCAACGTCTCTCAGCTCGTCTACGTTCTATTTTCGCTTGTTTTATTTCTAAAGTTGTTCATGGGCAGAAGATCGATCAGCCACTGTTCTTAATTTGACTAGCGTAATATGTTGGTTCAGTGGTTGACACATATTGGTGATGAAAGTGTCTACCTTCACGGAGGTTGAACCCTGTATGGATGTCATTAGCTGGCGAATGTTCCCTCCAAACTCTTCTTTGTCAATGTCCGTTTTTCAGGTTGATATTTTGTGGTGTCTCAGTTTGGGCTTCCCTATACAAGTTATTTCAAACGACACCACGTAATGATCAGAAATGCATTTGTTCTTTACTTGAATGTCACCGATTGTATTGACATTGTCCGTAATCACCCAATCGAATGTGTGAGTTTTGTTATGTGAGTGGGGACATCCATGACTTGATAGAAACCACGAGTCTCCAGAATAGATTTTTATAGATTTAACATTACTGTCTAAGGTGCCTGCAAAATATAAATCAAAGTCCCCTAAAATTATAAGCTATGCCTTCTGGGTGGCATGCAGGTCTAGTAAATCCTGGAATTCAGCAATGAAATCTGTAATTTTCAGTTTGTTTTTCCTGCTGGGAGGTGGTCGATAGAAACAGACAAATTATATGATGGGACATCCTTCGAGGAAGGACTTCGGTATTGAGTGACCACCTCAACAAACACGATAAAGAAGAGACCTAACCCGAACCCTAACCCAATTCCTAACTCTACCCCTACCATTACCCCTACCGCTACCCCTACCCCAACCATATTCCTATCCCTAACTCTCTATTCTACTCTTTTTCTTAGTGTGGTTGCTCGTTATGGAATTCTTTCCTTCTTCGATATCATGTAGACTCATCTTACAACATTCGAACGTTTTAAAGTTTAAAGAAAAAAAAAGATTTTTTGACGAGTCAGTCACGGTGACTTTTGTGTCAATGGCAATAAAGATCTCGGGAGTAATGATGCTTCGAGGTAAATTGGAACAAGCACACCTATTCCCAGTGACACCAATGATTGGTCTTTGTTTTCTCCTACCTCCTCGTTTCCACCTCTTGTCTTTGTTACCTTTGCTGGCTAAGTCTATAGATCTTTGAACGCCAAGCTGAGACAAGTAAACAGCCGTTTCATGTGAAATGTCATGTGTCTTTTTGTTTATAAACAATAAGGGGGCTCTCGAGGCCAAAGGTGAAGGTGTTCACCTCTCATTCAATAGGTCCTGGGTTCAAATCCGGATAGCAACGGAAAACTTTCTTCGCTAAAATTTTCTCCTTTCACACCCTTTCCTACTCTCTAACAATGTCCTGTCGTCTGCTTTCGTCTCCCCTTTCTGCCTCCACTCCCTCACCTCCTTTGTTCCCTCCTCTGGACTCCTGACCCTTTCTGTAACCTTTCTACTACTACTTCTTGGCTCCTTACTGCTGTCTTTCAGCCACACCCCTGATCTTAGGTAGGTAAGATCGATCACCTAGCCTTCTTGGACAAGGGCGAAAAATCTTGGAGGTCCCGTGTGCAAGTTGCGCACGTTAAAAACCCCTTTGTGGTCCAAAATAGATGAGTAGTCTTCGGCCGTGCCAACCAGGCAAAATACAAAATTTCCTACCAACTAAAAATGTTTAGTGCAGTTGTGAGCGCCGTAAAATACTTACTATCCACCCCCCCCCCCCCAAAAAAAAAAAAAAACAACAACAAAAAAAACCCCCAAACAAAACAACAACAAAACAACAACAGCAAAAATACAACAACAAAAACAACCAGCCAACAAACAAACCAAAAGAAAGAAAAAAACTACCCCAAACAAACAATAACTGGTCTCTAGGCTAGTTTAGCAATACCCTTGTAGATCCCGCGCGGTGAAAATCAACACACACGGACTCACAACTTGACAGTGTTCACTTTCCACTATTCAGAACAATGTTGTTAAAGCTATTAACATCATAAACGGGGTCGAGTTGGGTGGTAGACACAGCTCTCCACACAATACCTTATGTTGAGGTTGAAAATGGCCAAAGCCAAGGATAGAACTTTCATGTCGAAATGTATGCTGTTATATATATATAGTATAGCAAATACATGTAGATGGTAATTTGCGATCAAGCACAACAGAAATAACGCAAAAGGCACAAAGGTTTCTTATTTATCCTGTACGCCAACTTAAAAAGCCACAATTATCCACAAGATACAACAAAGACACAAAAATTACAGAACATGTAAAACGCAGCCTGTCAGGCGCGAAATACCATAACGAATGTCAACTGGTTTCACAGTTAAACTTGATTTATATTAGTATTAATATATGTAGGCCTATAATCTTTATAAAATATATTTCAAATTACAGAGTAATCATCTCTTTTTCATAGTTTTGATAATAAGTTGAATGTGGAGCGAGGACATTTGTGTGATTTTTAAGGACACTCAAACTTTAGAAGTCAGTACATTTAATAATTTAATTTAAGCGGCCATATTTCTAATTTTACCCCTCACTCCCGGCAACCCTACTTCCTTCAATCGCTAATATCTCAACTTCTTTTTTTAAAGATGAATATTTTTTGTCACTAAAAGCAAGATAAATGAACAAGCTTCAATATGATACCAATAACTTTTTATGTGCTCAAAAATTGACGAGCGCCCGATTCCACCGAGCCGTGACACAATAACTTACCGTACATCAATGGGTCGACATTCCTAAAAACCTCTTCGGAACAACAAGCACGTCAAGAGAGGGACAGCAATGAGCGAAACGTACCTGGCCATCAAGAAGCCCTTGGAGCCAATCAAACTGAATTTCACCAATCCATATATAGGGTCGAATAGTACGCCAGTTGAAATGAAAGCAAGCCTGAAACAACGAGTAAACCCATGTCGTAACCGCTAGTTCTCGATCACTGGCAGGTACACATACAGAAATAAACGATAAACAAACTGTTGTTCCCTGCCAGTTTTGAATCCCCTCTTGAAACCTGCAGTGTCACCGTTTTACTAATGTTTGTTCCAAGTCGACTTGAATCTCGGCCGATGTACGGGGGTCGGGGCTCTGGCAATTTTTGGGGTGGATATCGATGTCTTGGACCCAGTCAAAGATCCTACACTGCAAGATATTTCACTACTAAAAAAAGCGAGAATCTGAGCAAACTTGGAAGTGTGGAAAATACATGGTAGGCCTACATATTATATTCCGGGTAACATTGCTACTGCACTATCCTCCCATTTTCATGCAACAAGAACTTTATGGTAGAATTTATTTATTTTACTTTAGATAAAGGTACGTGTTAAGAAGGGAAGACCAAAGACGACATGGAGGCGAGCGGTACGAGCGGAAATTGAAAAAGCGGGGACATCATGGAAACAGATAGAAAAGGATGCTCAGGATAGGCTTCGCTGGAGTAATGCTGTTGATGGCCTATGCTCCACTGGGAGTTTTTAAAAAAGGGCAAGAGAGAAGAGAGAAAGGTACGTGTACAATATAGTAACAAGTGAAGCAGTTGTAGGGTTAGTAAAATTATTCATAACGCATGTGCCCTCACCCTTAGAACGACGGGGGCTCGCGTCATATTATTTTGCTACATCAGGGGGCGGGGGAG